ACCACTATTGGTAGACATGTAAGTAATGTTTGAAAAAGTGAAATAAGTCAATCTTATTCTCTGCTCCTTTTAGATAAAGCTATTTTGGAGTAAAGCTAATGCTGAACCATCTGAGAAAGTCTCTCTTAGGATCTCTGTGACACAGCCTGATTCAGTAGTTGGAATTGTAGCTGTTGATAAGAGTGTGAATCTGATGAATGCCTCAAATGATATTACAATGGAAAATGTAAGTTGACCTATTTTTCAAAAGGACAAAAATGAATGTTCAGAGAGAGAAAAGAAATTTTATTGCATTATTTTGAATATCTAAAGAAAAATTTGTTAGTCCTGCTTCAAAAGTATAAGCCAATAATCAGTAAAGTTTCAAATAAAAAAGAATCTGCATCCTAGTATTATGTTGGAAGGCGACTTACGTAGTTGTGTCTTTGCTGTCTTACATGAGAAATGCCACTTAGAGTTTTCCCTCCTTTTCATGCTATAATTTGTGAAACTCAAGAAAGTACTGGAAAATTCACTTGCATAACTTTTGGTAACATTGGAGAAGAAAACATTAGCTAATTTTGAAGTACTTTCTATTTTGTTTATAAGTAATGTTTATAAGTAATTACAGTCTGCAGTAAATTTGGAATTTGCAGAAAGGCATATGTATTGACCTATATTATCTTAGAAACACCTGCACAGGCATCTGGGCTGCTGCTATTTGTACTGATTTTGGCAGTGAAGTTGCAAGGAATGAAGAAAGAGCAGAATTTAAACCTTTCTTTTGACCTGTCATCTAACTGCTGTCTCTAGCTGCCCACTGCCCTAGGCTGAAGTCACTCACTTCCTCCCAACTTGCCAATTCCAGATATCCTTCATTCTTCCCAGGGCTTTGGCTTCCCACTCATCCAAGTTTCCTACTTGCTTTTGCTGTTTCTCCAAAATTGGTTCTGGAGAAAGGAGTATGAAGTCTGTGATACTAGGCCATTTTGGCTTCTTTCTTTCTTGTTAAATTTACATGTCCTACTGAGAGGCTCTTGAATTCCTTGGGACAATTTAAGTGTACTAGATCTTCCAGGAATAATTTTCAGACACCAGCCTTCCTCTCATTAGCTTGGGTTGAGCTGTTTTAGTGCTCGTTTTTTTTTTTTTAAGCCAGTGAAAAAGGAAGATTTCTTTATGAGACAGATGCTTCTTCCTGAATGTTTCTATCCATTCATGCCTGAGTGACAGTTGAGCAGATCTTGCATGTATTTCTGTATTGTGGCAGAGTTTGGAACTAAAACATTTTCTCCCCATTATACCTGGCTCTGACTTTATTATCTATAATTAGGTTAGCTATATTTGCCAGCTTGTTGAGAACATTATGAAAATTTCTTTTTTCTTATTCTGCTGTTTTATTATTGGTACCTGTTCCAGCATTATGTTTGCTTATCTTGGGTGGAGAAGTGGCTACTGTTAGCATGACAGTAACAGTCATTGCTGGTGTTTAATTTTATGGTAGAAGGTGCTTTTTTTCAACTTGTGCTTAGTATCTTTCATGGTTTTTAATCCTGGCTTTATTGTAATTTATCTGGCTAATGCTAACACAAATATGGGGGAAGTATAAAAATAGTTACACCAAATGGCTGCAATATCTTTTTTTTTTTTTAAATTGTGATTTGGGTGAAAGTTTACAGAGCAAATTTGTTTCCTATTCAACAATTTATACCCATTTTGTTTTGTGACGTTGATTGCGATCCCCACAATGGAATAGCTCTCTTGTGTTTGCCTTCTCCCTTCTTCCTTCTTTCCTATCATCTCCTGGCTTCTGAACTTTATCCCTTGGCAAATACTGCCTTTTTATCTTGTGTCATTGATTGTTCTAATGAGTGCATACCTTCCTGATGCTATAGTTCACCTTGTAGGCCTGTCTATTTCTTGCCTGAAAGCTGAGCCACAGGGTTGAGTTCACTTCCAGGCTTGAAGGGCATGTAAAGGGCTCTATCAGACCCATAGCTTGGTCTGTCTTTATGATTTTGGGTTTTGTTCCACGTTTTCCTCCCACTCTATGCAGGACCTCCTATTGTGGTCCTTTTCAGAGCAGGGCATAATTTAGTTCTTCTGGTCTCAGTGTCATGGAGGTTGGTTCATGTAGTCCATTAGTCCTTTGGACTAATTATTCCCATGCATTATTTTAGTTTCTTCACTCTTTGTTTTAGATGGAGAGAGATCAATAGTCGCAGCTTAAATGGCAACTCATTTTTAAGTATTTTTTTTTTTTTTTTAAACTTAAAGACACCAGTTGCTATGCACCAAAGCAGGATACAGAACATTGTCTTTATGGACTATGTTATGCCAATTGATCTTAGTGTCCCCTGAGGTTGTGGTCTGAGCTCCCAGGTTCAGTGGTTCATTCCCTCAAGATGTTTGATTTTGGCTATGAAGTTTTCATAACTTTGCCCTTGTGTGCTTTACTGTATTCATGGATATATTTGCAGCAAATATAAATACATGTGTAGAAATATCCTCTGTGAAACCTATATATGTATTTTCATGGGTATAATCCTATTTGCCTTCCCATCCTTGTTCAGCTTGAGCTTCTATGCATCCACTCATAGCTTATTATGATTACTGCCATTGCAGGATTGTGTACCTAATAGAATTTACCTTTGTTGTCTTTGGCCCTTGTGCTCCTCCCAGTGTCTTTCTTTGCCTTGATCGTTTCGTGCTGACCTCCCCCTACTTATATTGACTTATGACCGCTTTACAGAAGAACATGTATTTGCATAATCTGTATCATATGGATGTACTGTAATTCATTAACTATTCCCCTAAATTTAGACATTTAATTGTTTTCATTTTTCCCTTATTTGCTCATATTTTCTTAGCTGTGAGTTAAAGGCTATGACCATTTTAAGGTTTTATTTTTTTAATATCAAATTCTTTTCTAAGAAAATTGTACTAAGTTACAGATCTGCAATAGTGCATATGAAAATGTCCATTTTACCCATTCGTGCTAGCAATGGGTGCTGTTCTTAAAGATTGCATTGCTAATATGATAGAAATAAATATCTCAGTGAAAAACTATTTCTCATTGATGTTAGAATTTGCTTTGCTTTGATTATCAGTGAAGTTGAATTTTTTCTGCTTATTGATAGTTTTTTTTTCTTTTGCTTTCTGTTCATTTTTTTTTTTTATTTAGGTAACTGTCACTTTACAAAATTTACATTAATTTCTATGAAATATATCTGTTTATTTCTGCCAAAAGTGTAGGTCATTTTTAATGCTGGCCTCTACATGTTGGTCTTTTCAGCACAGAGACATTTAATATCCTCCTGGGTAAAACTCAAGGCCATACTTCTTAGGAACTCTTAATTGCTGAACAGAGTAATCAATTCTGTTCTTTTATAAGAAATCTAATTTTGGCTTATTAATTCAGAAAGTAGTCACATATTCATTACTTCTCAATTTGTATCATTATCAAATTTGGTAAGCAAGTGGATTTCTTTTATCTAAATTACACAAATCCCTTCATTTCTTTATATTTTATCTCCTTCTCAGGTGGTCCATGAATTGGAACTTTATAACACAGGATATTATTTAGGCATGTTCATGAATTCTTTTGCAATCTTTCAGGTATATTTATTTAATTTTCTATATAATTTGAAAAGATAGTAGTATCTTTTATTATTACAGACCTTGTAAAATTAATATAAATTATGAAATATTTTATAATATAAATTATAAAATAAATATTAATTATGAAATATCAACCTTTTATTAAATGTGTTGCTGAAATATAGATTGTTATGTTAGTGTAATTTGAAATGGTAAGAGAGTCATCTTTTCAGTTTTAAAACCAAGTAGAAAAAGGCAATATTAGAGAAATTAATGCAATTGTTATTAAAGAAATAACTTACTTACTTTGTATTACTTCTACTGCCCTTAAAATGGCTTTTTGTGTGTGTTTGTGGGTGAGAGAGATTTTGATTGATTGAGCATACACACATTTGTACCCAGGCCCTCAGAAATGCGCGTGAGTGAGTATGGAGTACAGGTAGTTTAGAGAGCATTTCAACTTTTACTTTAAAAGAAAATTGAAATTATTCTTTTTAGGACTGTGGCCTCTGGGTATTGACAGATGCAAACCTTGTGAAGGATTACATTGATGGAGTCTGTAAGTAAAACATGGCAGTATGATTGTAAAATAATTTAATCTTTCATCTCAGATATTTAATAGCACTTGCCTTCTGGTTAGCAGTCAAATGCCTTAGGCACTGTGCTACCAGAGCTCCTGGACATATATATGTCTAGGTATTTTCTGGCTTAACATAGGTATTTTGATTTTGACTTTCACTTCTCTTGTTCTAAGAATATTTGGAATTTAATGTGCTTGGAAGCTGAGGTTTTTATATCCTGGCCATGATGTCAGAACGTCTGTCTGGGTTGCTATCTATGTCTTTGAAATGAGTACTTTCCATTTGCTCTCTGTGATTCTTTGAGGGGTTGTACTTTTGGGCATATTGGGAACTTCTGTGCCATATATATGCTTTGTGTTACAAACTGTGCTGTTACTTTGGTATTAGATAAAAGGAGAAACACGTTTTTGAAACATATGCTCCTTGATGTCCACCTAGAAAATAACCCAGATGCCATAAAATACACTGGCATATGTGTGCATGTTGTTGTTTACGTGTGTGCATGTGCACACACACTCATACGTATTTTTTCAATCCTGAGAGATTTAACTTCTCACTGGGCAGGATAACACCTGTGGATCCTAGGTTCCTGAATTGCTGAGTAGGGTGGCTACAAAGTAACAGTAAGAAGTGTGATTTTAGGAAGCAGTCATAAAATGTTTCTACTAAAGTAAATGTATAAATGAGACTGATTAGCTCTAGAAGTCATTCTCCTTTATTTCAGGTAAAATTATGAGAATATATCATCTTGAAAGGCTTTCTGAAGTGTTATATACACTTTCTATCCCTGAATTCCCTATTTCTGTCAGAAGTTTTCTGTTACTCCACACTAAGCCTCAGGCTCTCTGGCTTTGGGCTGGTTCTTGCTACATAGGACACCCAAGTCTCTGTCCTGAAGCTAGAACTTGATTCTGTTTTGGAAATCCTCTACATACTGCTATTCCTATTTCTCTGTCCCATCCCACCAATCTAGCTTTTACAGATATTTGGTTTTGATGTTTGAATTTCTGGCCTCCAGTCTTACTCTTTGTCCAATTTTTATGTTCAGTCCAGTTTGTGCTTCTGGCCTGTTGATGATTGCTTTTGCTCTGACTAGGCTGTTTCTGTGAGGCCGGACATGCTGCCTCCCTCTAGCCCTTTCACCAACCCCAACACCAACTGTTCCTCCTGCCGAACCCACCACTTCTCTGCTGGGTTTGATAATTTGCTGCAGTGTCCAGGCAAAACTCACAAATTATGGGGTTTATTAGGGAAGCAATAGGCTACAATTCAAGTTCAGAAATTCATTCAGTCTCTCACAGCTGGCTATCTCACTTAGCAGCCACCAGTCTCTCTCTCAGCAGTGCGTGTCTCTCACGTCTCTCTCTCAGCAGCCCGTATTTCTCACATCTCTCTCTCAGCAGCACGTGTCTCTCGCATCTCTTTCTTTCAGCAATGCGTGTCTGATGTGTCTCTCTCTCAGCTAGTGTGTGTCCCTTAGGAGCACGTTTCTCTCAGCAGCATTTATTTTTCAGTCAGCAGTCAGAGATATTCCTTCTGCCTCTAGGAGGTCTCCTTTTGAGCCTGGCAGAGTGGCCCAAACCAACCAATCCCAATATCAGAGTTCTACACACCTGAGAGAGAGTGAACTTCCCAGAAAATTAGTTTGTGCTGCTCCAACAGAAATATCCCAGGTGGATAACTTTAATCAGGAGCTCCTCAGTTGCTCACGGCAAATTCCACCATGGAGTTTACAAAGACTTATGGCTAGAAAACTCACATTATGTAATTTACTACACCACAGCCATTTTCTAATTTATTTTAAAACCTTCAATGGGTCACTGTTTCTTAAAAGTGTAAGTTCAGATCCTTTAACATGAGATGCTTGACATTTTAAAATCTAGAGTCAACCATTCTTTTTCTTCTAATTTTATGCCACTTTTAAAAATACTCATTGTCATATCATGGACATGGCTTTGTACTTGGCTCACTGTTGTTTTTTTTTTTAGTATTAAAAAAGCCCCCCAAAATAACTCACTGTTGTTGAGTAGATCCCGACTCATAATGACCCCTCCTTGGGTTTCTGAGGTGGTATCACTATTGAAATAGATTTTCCAGTCTTTGCTCTGAGGAGTGGCTGGTGGGTTTGAACCACCAGTCTTCTGGTTAGCAGTCAAATGCCTTAGGCAAGAGATTGTACAAAATGGAATGTTTGTTCCTCTTTTCTCCTAACTATGCCCCTAATCATCATTGAGATTGTGTGTAAAATCAACCATTCTCTTCATTGTACCTTATGCACATGTTTGTTATCATCCATATCATGTTTTCTGTGTACCTGCCTCCTTCATAGACTTATCAATGAATTCATTGCATTCATCTTTGTATCATTGGTACTTAGTACAGTGTATTTTTTTTTCATTTTAATTTGAAACAATTTTATATTTACAGAAAAGTTGAAGGAATATAGATGCACAGGAGTATTTATGGCAACATAGCTTCTTTTTATAAGAAAAAAGCCAGTGAACTGGGCAATTGTATGTAGCATCTCATACCTGGTATAAATAAATAAAACCAAACTAACTGCTGTTGAGTTGGATCTGACTCATAGCGACCCCTCCTTGGGTTTCCGAGGTGGTATTACTATGGAAGCAGATTGGCCAATCTTCCTTCCGAGGAGTGGCTGATGGATTTGTACCACCAGCCTTCTGGTTAGCAGTCAAATGCCTTAGGCATGACACTACCAGAGCTCCTTATACCTGGTATAGCCAATGATAATCAGCACTAAAGAGCTTGGAGAATGGTAGTAGGATTGTAGGTTGCTTTAATAATATGATTTAACATTTTAACTTTTTTTTTTTTTTTAGCAGCTAAACTGTAAGCAGTTTTTAAGATATTGGCTGTAGGGGTAGGGCATGTTTTTTCTAGTTCTGACTCTACTGTACTGGCCATGTGCCCTTGGTGAATTACTTGACCTCTTTGAGTCTCAGGTTTCTTATCTAAAATGAGAAGATTGGACAAGTAGAACTCTAAAAGCCTCTTCAACTGAGAGTGTTATGATTCTGTAGACTAAGTTTGTAATTTATTTTATTCATTGATTTCTTTTCTACCAGTTGTCAATGTTTATTTTTAGATGACAATCCAGAGGTTGCTGAAAGGTTTTTGGAAGAAAGTGAAGGTTACATGGTTGATTTTCATGACCTTTCATCAGTTAGCAATCCACGCATTAGAAAGCATTTTCCAGAGACTTGGATTTGGCTAGACACCAACATGGGGTAAAAATTTATCAAGTTCCTTACTTACATATTTTTTGTTAAGTGATTGTTTTAAATATGTTCTGTTCTCTTTTTAGTGTTTAAGTACAGGTATAGTGTGATTAAGAACTAAGTAGACCAAGAAGGTTTTGTTTTAGAATAATGCTTTTCATAATTTGTTTTATTGTAAAAACTGTATTACAACAATATTACAACTATATTAACAAAGCCACGTACAAATTGTGGTGGTAGGAATATTCTCAAGGAGGAAATGATATTAATTGCCTGGTCTCAGGCTCTGATCTTTTTCTGATGAAAGTTGATCTTTACTTTCATTTAAGTCTCATGGTCCCTGATGGAGAAACATTTCTGGGAGTATATTTGTTGCCTTGAGGTGGAAATCATTCATGATTACTTCCTGCTACCTTGTATCAGTACTTTGAACTGATTCTCACTCTTCATAAAACATCTCCGTGAGCCACAGGGAGAAGGGACATGGAGGTAGAAGGAATTCTAGCCTAGCTGACAACACCTGTGCTACCTGGCCTGGTGATCTAGCATGTAAATCATGAAATGTATACAGTACAGGAAGTACCTGGGTTATGAACATCAGAGTTGTATACAACCATAATTATGAACCAACCCCCAAAATGCCTATTATATTAAAAATTTGAAGCATGTACGATGGTTTGCAATAGCAAACAGGTGCTACTTTGTGATGCACACCAAAATGTTATTGTTATTATTACTGTATTATTATGTTAAAAATGTCTTAGTGTACAAGTTACCCTTGCTATCCAAAAGTAGAGAGCTCTTATGAAACCTTCCATAAACCAAAATGACATAAAGCAAACAAGCAATAACCATTAATTTATACAGGCAAAATTTTGTGCATTCCCTGGCCCAAAATATAGCCTACCAAAGCATTACCAAATAACACATAAAACCTAAAACAACACTAATGTACAGTGTTCACAGACATGGTTTAAAGTGATGGCGACTTGATGCTAAGATGCTTAGTTCTGGAGAAGGCACTTCGTGTGCTTGGTGCGCACTCTCGCTGCTTGGGGTGTGCGCTGCCTTTAACAGCTCACTGCGAAACAGACTCTGAACAATAGTTTCCCTTCTCACCTTTCTTTCACAAAAGTGAAAATCTTCGGATTTTTTTAGGTTAGCTAAAACAGGTACTAATGTAGGTGTTTCATAAAAGCGAAGTGGTATAAAGTGATGTTTTGAAAATTGGAGGATACTTGTAACTGGAAGTGTTTTTTCAGGCATACAAAGGTACACTATATACTGTAGATTAAGACAAACATTTGACTAACTGACATTAGATATGAACCGTACCTAACTATTTTGACTTATGTACAGATTTGACTTAAACACAGATTTGGGAATGGAACTCATTCCTAACCTGGGAACTGCCTGTATATTATAGTCAGCCATTTAGGGAAATGTGAAATAAGACATAAGTCAAACCTCAGAAAACAAAACAAATACTAGTGCTGACAGGTATACAGGGAAAGAAATTTTCTGCAAAGTAAGAGGAAAAAAATGGAGTTCAGTTTGAAAACAGGTATTGATATAAAATTTATGAAAATATTGCTCATTCTGAAGATAAAAATATATTGTAGAAAGATTTTATTGGGGTATGGATCACTATGTGGTGTTATGACCTACTTCTTGAGAACTTGGAATCTATTTCATAATTATTTCTTTGTAGTTGTTTTACATTTAGAGGTGTAAATGGTTTAGACAATTAAGATTCTTCCAAAAAATAGTGTAAGTTATGTTGGCTTATTTTGAAAGGTGTTTGAGCCAGTTCCTAATTTTATGATTTGTTCTTGTTTATCTTGACTTTAGTTCCAAGATTTACCAAGAATTTGAAGTTACTGTACCTGATACAATCACTTCCTGGGTGGCTACAGCTTTTGTGATCTCTGAGGACCTAGGTCTTGGACTGACAACTACTCCTGTGGAGGTAGCATATTTAAGGGCTGCTTATAAGTTTACAGTGCCATGAAGCAAAGAGAGTGTCAGCTCTTCAATGGAAAAAAAAAAAAAGACTGCTTATAATGTTGATCCTAATTTGAAATTTCTTCATTTTGCCTTTCTGTGTCTATTTCTGTCATAAGCTGTATTAAACCATGGAATGTAGGTTTATACTGATATTTGAATAGACAATTTTATACTGATAAATGAAGGTTTATACTGATATTTGAAAAGAAAATTTTATCATCCAAGTACTTCCCAAATCCAGAAAAAATTGTGCTTTCAGCCTGTTCCTCTCCAAGAATGTGCAAAACTTCTCTAGATTTCCTCTTAGCAGAAATTCCTTCACGTCTTTCATCAAATTGCATCACCTATCGCTTCCTAAACCAGTTACTGGTCAAATGAAATAGACTGTGGTTTAGATTGCCTTAGACCAGTGGCTCTCACCTCTGTCAGATCTGAAGCCTCCTTTGTAAAACAGATTTTTTGTGTTGCCCATTTATTTCCTGAGATGAAATTCATAGGTAATATAACTTAGCTGTATATAGAGTTTTTAAAAAAATCAATATAATGCCCTAGGTGAAATTGTAAAGATAAATTAAAGGAAAATAATATATAATAAAATAATAGGTATTTCAGTATGTAAATTACTGGGACAATTACATTAGAAAGCATAGTGAAATTTTTAGATATTTACCCCACGAGTAGAATCTTCTTTTATGTAATAGCTATGAATGTAATTTGATACCCACACATTGTTTTGAAGACTCAAAACCTTGAGAGGTACCTGTGGTGATGTCAATTTCTGAAACCAAACTGCAGTCTTCTCTTGATTTATAAAATAGTTGTATTGGTCAACAATTCAGTGTGCATTAAAAATGGGTTTGTTGTTGTTGTTGTTGTTGTTTGCCGTCGAGTCGGCCCCGACTCATAGCGACCCCTCCTTGAGTTTCCGAGGCAGTATCACTACGGAAGTAGGAATGCCCAACCTTCCTTCTGAGGAGTGGCTGGTGGGTTTGAACCGCCAGCCTTCTGGTTAGCAGTCAAGTGCCTTAGGCACTATGCTACCAGAGCTCCTTGTAAAAATGGGTTTATATATAAAAAATAGGTTTATATATAAAGTGGAATTAGGTTCTGGCTCCCATAATTTATTAACAAATGCTTTATTTACATGATTGTCTGAAGGGACACTCAAAAGTCATGTGGAGCATGGAATAGTTCTTCATTGGTTGAGACTGTCTTGAGCACTGCAAACCTTTACCCCAAAAGTGCTAATAGCACCCAATGCCAATCCTCACCCACAAAGTGATAACACTGTACCAGCTACTGTGACAATCTAAGACACTTCCACAAATGTCCAAATCAACTTCTAGAGGGAATTACTCCTCCTCATAGGTGGGATGGAGGAATGGGGTAGATGAATTGGGCTGGGAATCAGCCTCCACTGTAGGACCTGACCAACAAGATAGATGTTGGGTCACCAAGGAGGAAGTATGTATGCATGTTTGTGTAGAAAGTAGTTATTAGAATACCCCTGGGCCTAGCACATTTAGATTCTCCATATGTGATTCTAAAACAGGGCTTTTTTATTTGGTCAGTGGTTTTTTAAAGCAGAATGCTGGAGTCAATATAGAATAGTAGAAAGGGCCATTGCTTTGGCATCAGACACTCTGGGATCCAGTTCTGGCCCCTCTAATTACTGACTGTGATTTTATACCTGTTCTAGAGATCTCTGAGCTTCCGTTTTCTTTTCTTTAAAACAGGAGTATAATACCTGCCTCATAGGGTTGTATTAATTTAATTAAGTGAGATAATTATATAAAGAGCCTGGTTCATAGTGGGCTAAAATGTAGTGTTTATTGTTAAATCAATTTGCCATATTTCATTTAGGATAAGTTGTTATTTCTGTTTATAGGAAATTAGACATTTCCAGGTGAAGTTATAGGCTCAATAGGTTTTGGGAGAATTGCTTTTAATTGCATAAAATGTGAAGCATTTTGACCTGAATGAAAATATGTATTCATTGTATTTCCAGCTACAAGCCTTCCAACCATTTTTCATTTTTTTGAATCTTCCTTACTCTGTTATCAGAGGTGAAGAATTTGCTTTGGAAGTAACCATATTCAATTATTTGAAAGATGCCACTGAGGTAATATATTCAAGTTTTGTTAATGATTCACGCTTCAGGAGAAACTATGTTCTTATTATGTAGGGGTTGAGTTGTGTTGTGGTTGGGCATCTGGGCGTCAAGCATTTTATACATTTCTCGGAGAATGAAAATATACTTACTTTGTCAGTAATTTCATCTGTTCTTATGTCTGAGGATATTATTAGTATGTCTGTTGTCTACTGAATTTCCAGCACAGATTCTCCACTTTAGCCATGCTACTTCCTCATTATTTCAGAGGCTTGTCTTTATCTTTCCTGTCTCCTGCATTTTCTCATACTCTTCCCCACATCTAGAATGCTAGAATGAATTGCCACTTTATCGCTGTCATTCTGTAACCTACTACAGTTGGCAATATTTATTCCCTTTAAGACCTGGCTCAAAAGATGCCTTTCTAAAAAAAAGAAAAGATGACTTTGCAGAGGAATTTCACCCACTCTGTTGTATCTGTAGTCCTGATGTTTATACAGTGTGTTATATTTTCAAAGATTGTTGTTTGGGTCATATGCCTTTTGTCTGTGTAGCTATTTAGTTCCCTGGAAGTCTGGGATTAGACCACCCTTTTTATTGTGTTCATATTAAAAACCAACCCACAGCCATCGAATCAGTTCTGACTCATAGTGACCCCCATTGGGTTTCCAAGGCTGTAAATCTCCATGGAAATAGATTGCCTCATCTTCCTCTTGTGAAGCAGCTCGTGGGTGTGAACCACTAACCTTATAGTTAGCAGCCTAATTCTTTACCCACTACACCATCAGTGTTAGCCAAATGTTTAATCTTAAAGAGAATATGACATTTTTTCATGTAATGAAATTAATTATAATTTGGTAGGGATATGTAATTAATTTCATTATGTGAAAAAATGCCATATGCTTTTAAAGACCTAGATCTATAAGGTAACTTTTTTTTCTTTATTTCTGCTTTTTAATCAAATCTACATGGTGAAGTATGAAGAGCAAACATATAGAGTCAGAAACCAGGGTTCAATTTTCAGCTCAGTCACTTACCAACAAATAATTTCACCATCTAGGAGATGGGAATCATCATTGTTGTCTATACAAAACCTATTTTGAGAAGCATGTGAGAAATAAGTGAGAAAACAATTCATAAAATGTAATGTAATAGAGAAATGCTATTTTTATTATTTTAAGTTTACTTTTATTGTGGTGCAAACATACACACCAAGACATTCACCAACATAACAACTTCCACATTTACAGCTCAGGGACATTGATGACATTTTTCATATTGTAGAGAAATACCATTCTTGATGAGACTGGCAACTTTGTTATAATTTCTAAAAGTTTGCAACCAAGATACACACACACATCAGGACTAATGTTTGAATCGTACTTTCCTTGGAATAATTTTAGCAAATACTCTCAGTGAATATAACAACATTTTATTCTATTGTCTCAGATCTTTCTAATGGGACCAGTATCCCATGACATGTTTACATCAGGCTAGTAGCAATATAATATATGAAATAACTTTTCTGTACTCATCCTTACCACCAATGGCTTAGATAGAAATTTAATGTTAGTGAGAAGATCAGAAATGGAGTGGAAGAGTTTCCTTTCTCCCAATGTTTTGCAGTAGAAGAGGAAAGTGTGTAAGATAAATGAAATTTTTCCTAGTGTCTTTTCATTCTCTCTTTGACTGAATCTTTGTCTCATCTTTCTCTAGTCTTAGACCTCCCAGGCTTAGCAGCACTCAAGTGTTGATAAAACAGAATGTTACTGAGAGCATTTATTCTATTAAACTTTCACTAGTTTTTTTTTTTTTTCTTCTTCTAGGTTAAGGTAACCATTGAGGAAAGTGACAAATTTGATATCCTAATGACTTTGAATGAAATGAATGACACAGGACACCAGCAAACCATTCTGGTTCCCAGTGAGGATGGAGCAACTGTTCTTTTCCCAGTCAAGCCAACATGTCTGGGAGAAATTCCTATCACAGTCAGAGCTGTTTCACCCATTGCTTCCGATGCTATTACCCAAAAGATTGTAGTAAAGGTAAATATTTGAAATGTTAAATAAATGAAATGAAGTACCTAATTGAAAAGGAAAGAAAAGGTGGTTTTCTTCTTGATTAAATTTGATGGGAAGACCCAGTAGGTTGTCTCCTCAACCTTCTTGATAATGCATAATTGTTTTCTCACTGGGTATAGAAGTATATCACCACATGTTTTAGAAGTAATTGCCAATTTCCTCTTTAAGTTTAATCAAGGAGTTTGACTATAAAACACTTCTCTTTTATGGTCATCTATATTTACAAACTGTGTTAATTGAGATAGTACTAAATCATGGCCAAGTTCATATGTAGATTTAAAATTTTGGAATTCAGTGAATCTAAGACAGATTTTGCAGTTTCCCAGAGAAGACATTATGTCTAAAAGGATAGCTAGTTCAACATAGTGGGTAAATGCTCAGGTTAGGAGTTCTGGTGGTGTAGTGCGTAAAGCATTTGACTGCTAACCAGAAGGCTGGTGGTTCAAACCCACTAGCTGCTCCTCGGAAGGAAGATTGGGCAATCTACTTCCATAGTGATACCACCTTGGAAACCCAAGGAGGAGTCACTGTGAGTTGGCTCCAACTTGATGGCAATGAGTTTGATTTTGTGCTTCTGGTTTAGTTCAAATCCCAGCTCTGCCAAATGTGACTTTGGGCAAGGTATTCATCTCTCTGTTTGGGTAGTAATGGGACCTACCTCAGAATGTTTTTCTCATCACCTTTCATCTTCTCCTATATCAATTCCATTGCTATTTCATGAAATGTTTTGTCTAATTTAACTATAAATTAAAAGTTTATTAATAGATTTGAATTAGGAATAAAACAGTGGTAGGTACTTATCTAGCTACACACAATGTGCAGACACAACATGCTTGTCCTTGTATCTGTATATATATATCTATACATAAAAGGATTAGTTGAGACCATGTTAACGACGTTTCTTGTTTTTGACAGGCTGAAGGTATAGAAAAATCATATTCACAATCCATCTTATTAGACTTGACTGACAAGAATCTACAAAATACCCTGAAAACTTTGAGTTTCTCATTTCCTCCTGAGACAGTGAGTGGTAGTGAAAGAGCTCAGATCACTGTAATTGGTAAGAATAGAGTCTATCACCATCTACTGGTTTACTTGAATATGGTAATATGTATTTTCCATCTATTTATAGATGTATTTTCTTATTTAATTCTAATGAGAAGAATTTGCAAAAAGTTTTTATTTCATACCAACTGATGATTGCAATAGAAAGGCTATCAAAATACACATCCTAGACTATTGCTTCTCAATTTTCAACAGGCATATGAATCACTTTGGGATCTTGTTAAAAAGCAGATTGGGTTGAGTAGGTCTGGGGTGGGTTCTGCATTTATAACAAGCTACCAGGTGATGCTGATGCTTCTGGTTTGTGGAAGTTTGAGTAGCAAGGCTCTGACTACAATGTGGCTGGTGGGTGAGGTTATTTCTAAGAGCAGGGCTGCTGGCTTCTGTGGTTCTTGACCATGGGTGAATATCAGAATCTTCCAAGCAGCTTTGTGAAAACACAAATATTCGGACTCTATTCAACCTGTTAAATTAGACTTTCTAGGAGATATGACTATTGTTGTTGTTAGATGCCATTAAGTCAGCTCCAACTCCAAGCCACCCTGTGTACAGCAGATGAAACACTGCCTGGTCCTGCAACATCCTCACAATATTTGCTGTTCTTAGCCCATCATTACTGTCACTGTGTCAGTTTACTAAATCAAAGCCAAGTTCAAGAACAAGTGATTCTGATAGAGCATCTTTGTGCAACACACAAGTAAACTTTACAGCAGGAAGCTACCCAAAGACTTCAGACACCCTTTCCTAGTCATCTTCCAGTAACCTAAGAGATTTTTTGAATCAAGTAGTAAACAGTTTCCATGCAGTTTGTTTATATAGTTGTGCTTTAGAAATAACTGAAGGAAATATTTCAGTTAATGATATCTAAGTAGGTTATTAGGAGCTCTGATGGCATAGTGCTTAAAGCATTTGTCTGCTAACCAAAAAAGGTCAGTGGTTTGAAACCACCAGCTGCTCCATGGGAGAAAGTTGAGGCAGTTTGCTTTTGTAAAGATTTACAGCCTTGAAAATCCTATTGGTTGTTTTATTTCATCCTATAGAATCACTATGAGTCAGAATTGACTCAATGGCAGTAGGTTTATTAATTTCTCGGGTGTCAGTGCCTAAATGTTTTTTTTTTTTTTCCTGAAGTTCTTTTAAATTTCATCTGCAGGTGTAATTTTTCTTTTCTTTTTTTTAATTATAACTGTAAATGACCCAAGTCCCTATATAGAGGACTTTATTTGGAATCTTAGATACAGTTCTTAAAAAAGAATGAAATAAGGTTTCTATTTAAGGGAATAAATTCTGCTTAAACAGTTTCTAAGGAGCCCTGGTAGTGCAGTGGTTAAGAGCTCAGCTGCTAACCAAAAAGTTGGCTACTCAAATCCACCAGCTGCTCCATGGGAGAAAGATGTAGCAGTTTGCTTCTGTAAAGATTACAGTCATGGAAACCCTATGAGGCAGTTTTACTCTGTCCTATAGGGTTGCTATGATTTGGAATCTACTTGAGGGCAATGGGTTTTGGTTTTTGAAGCATTTCCACAACACTGAGATTCTGGGAGATGTAATACGTACACATGCATATGCACACATGTTCATCAACATAGAGAGAAGAAGCCTTGAATTTTTAATGTATACCACCACTCCTTACATTACAATGAGTGTATCTACAGTCATTAAAATACTTTGATGTTTAATTTAAAATCTTGATGTATAGAAATGATTTTTCAAGTTATTTTTACAGGATATTCATTTTTAAAGCAATCTATCTTGTAGCCTAGAATAGAAGGATAATAGATTGCTTCTTTGAATTTTAAAGAAATTCTGGTGACGTAGTGCCTAAGGCACTTGACTGCTAACCAGAAGACTTGTGGTTCAAACCCACTAGCCACTCCTTGGAAGGCAAAATGGGCTTCCATAGAGATACCACCTCGGAAACCCAAGGAGAGGTTGCTATGAGATGAAATAGACTTGATGGAAGCGACAGTTTGAATATTAAAAACCTGCAGTAGTAATATTATAACATTTATTTCTCTCTGCTAACATCTAAAGTTAAAGTCAGCATGTGCTAGCATGACTGAGACCTACTCCTATGAAAGCTTTCCTCTCTTTCATAGATTTGCATTGTCAGAATCACATTTCATTAGGATTTGGGATGGTTTAAGCTCTGGTGGCATAGTGCCTAAAGCACGTGACTGCTAACCAGAAGGCTGGTGGTTCAAACCCACCAGCC